TTTAAACCGTAAGATTGTTTGTGAGAATATCAACAGGTGTAATTCCTGTGGGGGGTGTGTGTGTGTGTGTGTGTGTGTGTGTGTGTGTGTGTGTGTGTGTAAAAGAGAGAGAAGGAGAATGTGGGATGTGGCTGAATTTCCGAGAGGAGTGCAAAATGTGTGTGTATGCGTGTGTGTGTGTGTGTGTAAGAGAGAGAGGGAGTAGTGATCAGCTCCCCCATCTCCCCCAACAGAACCTCTCAAAGGAATAACATTTTCTCAACTTTTTCCCTCCTTTTCGGTCATAATTAGCATTCTGTTCTCAATTTGGCCGCTTAATTAGGTGTACATAACCTTGAATTTCCAGTAATGGAAAACCGGAGGGCTGGCGAGATGAAGCCATCATCTTCAGTGATTAAGATACCTGCAAACTATTGTACACAGCCTCTTCTGTATTCATATCATTACATGGTGAAATTAACATTTCTGTTCCACCTGTCTCGGGCTATGGTAGCACAGGTATAACTATGAAATAGCTTTAGAGCCAAAGTGACGGCTAGTCTGGATCCTAGAGAAGTTGCTGGAGGGCCACCACGGTTTAATGAAACTCATATACTTGGACAATAAAAATAAATAAAATATTGGCAATATTCAAATGAGTGCCTGTGTAAGTGTGCACCCTAAGTTTCAGGTGGAAATTTTGAGGGATGAGACAAAAAAAAGGAAAAGGAAACAGAAATGTAGAGAAGGGGAAACAGCAGATAGAAATAAATAAATAAATAAATAAATAAATAAATAAAAATAGCAAAGAGGTGGTGGAGAGTTAGCTTTTTTTTCTGCCTCCATGGTAGACTGAGCTGAGACTTGAGGGTGGGGAGGAGATGTTGGTGGGTGTTGCATAATTTCAGGTGCTCAGTTTCTGTTCTTTGGCACAGCAAGGTTATGCAAATTCTCCGTCAGGCAGAGGCCAAGGCTGAGTAGGTTACTGACGGGCCGGAGAGTACACAACATGTCCCCCTACTCAGCCAGTCAGACACTGACAGAGAACAGAAAAGAGAAGAGAGACGGGGGAAAAGAATACAGGGGGGATACTAAGAGGCTAAAATCACCACATTCTGACCAACTCTTCCTACTTCTCTCTACCTGCTTTGATTAACACAACAACTCAGAGACTTTCCGACGATCCGGGCAAAAACTAGTCAGAGCTAAGCTTTACTTTATTTGCAGACAAAAATCTTGGTACGCACTACGTTTAGCTAATCTGATAAACAAGGACCATCCCTTTAATGAGCTCTTATTTCCTTCAGGTTCAAGTGCTTTTATTGCTATTTAAACCACATAAGTGGAAGAAAAATGTACATGTGAAACCTACAGCAGAGTAGGAATGCAAATGTGCAAATATTACAAGACAGTATGGACACCATGCAAACAACAGAAAACAGTAGTGCTTCTTTGCCAGTGTAGTTAGGATGAAGTAAAATTATGGCATCATTGCAGGATTTAAGTAATTTTAAAACCTGCCACTCACTCGTTAATGTTCTGTTAGTCTTGGTCATGGTATTAGGGCGGGGGCTGAAGCTGATCCCAGCAGTTAAGAGGGGAGAAGCAGAGTACATGCTGGACAGGAGAGTCCATCAGACGTAAATTTTAATCGGCAAAGATGAATTCCATGTTCAGTTTCTAACAGCTGTCACATCATCAATGAACACTTGTGACTAAGTTACACTAGCAGTAAAAACACTCAGCTATAAAGCAATCTGTATAATGTTTAAGTCTTTTTTTATATCATCCTAATGAAGGTTTGTGTTAGTTTGATCAGTTTCCTGATTTTTTTTATTTTTTTCAGAGCTGGGAAAACTTCTGTCCTTTTTATTCCAGTGAGACAGATTTGTACTTACGTTCATTAAAGGCATATTCAAACTCCTCCAGTGTTTTGGGGAAAATGAACGGAGGTTCGTCTTTCTTCATTAATTCATCCAAGTCAATTCTCGACAACAAATCTGTTGACAAAGAAAAAAAAATACACATTTTAATAATCCAGAGCAAAATTTCCTCTAAGAATTTAAAGGTCACATGGAGTTGAGTAAATTCAAAGCAATATACCAGTTTTTTAGCCAAAGAACATGAGCATGTTGCTTTGAATTTACTCAACTCAGTTAAGTGGAACCAGGTAACGTAACATGGTTAAGTAAATCCAACATTTCATTTTTAGAGTGCAGTCAGAAAATCCAAGCTAACCTATACTAGCATACAACTTTTTACCTATTAAACACAGTTTTTTGTTTTCTATTCCATTTTGTTTTATTTCTATATGATGATGTTCATGTATGTGTGTTTAAACTAAGGGTTACTTTGCATTATTAGCTATAAAAGCTTTAACTTTCCTAAAAGCCTAACTGGAATCAAGGACCGGAATTTAGCCATTGGCTGCACTTTATACATGTGGAGCAATGGTTGCTATGTTTGATATGTAACATTATTTTGTATTATCCCTAAAAATTAGACCAATTAAAAAGAAAACATCTGTATGAGTAATGTCTCTCTTATTGGATGCACACTTTTGCAGCAGGAGTAAATCAGCTAGCCAGATTGGGGGGGAGCAGGTGAACTCACTGCATCAGACCCAAGTCACAACATGTCAACTCACAGCAGAACATGTAACATTTAACAGGATAATTCTATAATGTCTGATTCATATTACCTGCTTTACTTACATGGGGGCAATAGGGATTAGTGTTATACATGTTATATAGACATTGATTTGCCTGTATAAACATGTTTAACTACAGTGGTAAAAAGTGCTGTGAATAATTATCATACAAATAAACTTGTGAATCGAGTTCTAATTATCAGTTGTGGTGAGTTGTCATCACAGTGCACCAAGTTGATGCTGCAGTGTGTTGACATGGACCCCTGAGCAAGTGTGAGTCGCACCAATTTCAAGCATCATGTCAGCCAGAGCATCAACCTGATGTCCTGCTCAGATAAAGCAGTTAAACTGTCTAAACCTCATATCTGATGCAAACTCAACAAAACCGCTTTGCTTGCAAAACCCAAATGTGATGAATAAAGTCAGTGAATCAGCTGAATATGATCAAATTGCATGATCAATGCAGTTTTTGGTGTTACGCAGGTCTGTGTTATCAAATGTTAAAAAAATAAACTAATAACGTAACAACACCCCCTACCACTTGCAAAAAGCTTTACTCTCCATTTGACAGGAAGCTCCTCTTCATTTTTCAACACTTCTCAAAAGTTAAATTCACCTTTGAGTGCAGTTGTTTTCTCCCGGTCATCCTGGCCAGCAACCTGGGCCATGCTGATCCACAGTATGTACAAGGCTGAGGTGGCAGCACCGAGGTGAGGGAGCATGGGTCCTGCCCTCACACAGATGAGCCCTGGCACATACAATTGGTTATAGTAGATCAATATACTTGTGCTGCGAAACACGTGGTGTTATAACACAATCACGCAAGGTTTCAAAAGTCCAAATCCTTTTAAAGCTTTTACAACTTGTTGCAAACATGCTGATCAGTGTGACAGAAATGGAAACTCAAATACTGCCCTGTGCAGGCATAGAATTGATACGGGTTTTTTTAAAATAAAAATCTGATTATATAAAAGATAAAACACAAGTTTGTTGACAGCTGTTTTGTAAACTAAGGCACGTGCAAGAAATGAATCCATTATGCAAAACAAGCACACTTTTTTGTTTGTTTACTAAACAGCAGGTTTAAAATACTAAATGTTCTACACGCTCAGCCATTTCAAAGTGCTCCGTTTTTTTGAATTTTCTGCACAAGCAGCATGTTTTTAAAACTGCTCTCGCTCAACATCATTTGGAGCCTCTTCGAGCGAGTAAAACATAATTATATTCGTGTGTTTTAGACGAGCGGTCCAGCTAAACGAAATATGGAGCTTCAGAGGGGACCAGCTGCCTACAACAGATGCATGCATGCGTCCAAATTCACTCACGGACCATAATGTTTTCTCCTGTTGTTCCTGCTTCCTCGAAATTTCTAAAACAGGAAGGACTCTCCTTGCAGCGGCGTGTGGCGCGTGAGGCTTCCGGGTTACCGAGGCAACGGACCGGAAGAGATTTTTAAAGGCACAGTAACGTTCCCAGCAGCGTCCTTCGTTGTTTTAAATGCGTGTTCCTTTAAATAGCTCAAACTCAAACAACTCAAATCTAATGTGTTATTCCAAAGCAGTGGTTTCCTTATTTT